GAAATTTAATATACATATAATAAATGTGATTATGGTTAACTTATCTTATATAAAAATTTAATACTATTCTTGAAAGATTTAATATGCTTGAAGCATAATTTAAGTAATTTTATCATGAGGAGGAATAAATATGCGTTATGCTCTTTGTTCTTTGATCAAGGTTTTGTCCAATTGGATTTTCCTGGCAAGGTTTTTAATGAAGCAACTTTTGTAACGTATTCAAAAGAATAATGTACTCTTTTTCCCTAATTAGGATTTTTCTCACGGGATTTTTCCTAATAAGGTTTTAATGAAGTATATTCTTTGTACAATAATGTCTTTAACCTATAAGACATTTACCCCAAAATGTATACTCTTATATGTGTGAAACTCTCGAAGAGATCAACAAGAGCTATTTTCGAATCATCATGTTACTACAGTTATTAAAGAATGATAAAATATCTCTTATGAAAACTATGTATTTGACAACTATGCAAGACAACACGAGACATACTTCACCAAAAATTGTAATATTGAAGAGATTGATGTATGAGATATGGATAGCTTGATACAATAATTGAAATCAGGAGAAGCAACTGTATTCTTTTTCTTTCGATCAAGTTTTGTCTCATTGAGTTTTCTTGACAATGTTTTAATGAGGCAGAATTTTATTACTTCAAATTATTTGTACTATTTTTTATTTGTTGGCATTTTGTCCTGTTGGGTTTTTGCCAAACAAGGTTTCAATGAGATAGTTATTGTACAAATAATCATCAAAGAGGGAATGTTGTAAAATAATAAGATAATTATTGATAATTATTTAGTATTATCATAATACATAGATAAGTCTTATCTAGTTTAGAAGATCTATTTCGTTCCAATTGTTACTCTTATTTGGACCCTATAAATATAGGTTATTGATTCTTAATAATATACACTTGACTTTTGACTCTTATATTATCTTCTCTTTTTCTCTCTTTTCATAACAAGTTACAAATTGTTGTTTGGATTCTAATTTTAGAATATAGTATTTGCTAAAATATTTCACATATAAGACAGTATTTTTAATTATAAATACATGAAACAGTATATTATGGAGTCTTATTTTGTAACGAGGTAAATACGAATTTTTTCCTTTTTTTATAATACTATATCATTTTTAGTTTGACCTGGTCGTTTCATTATTTTAAAATTTGGACTTTAAATGGGGAGGTTCATGGGATGGGATCAATGTTCCCCACCCCTGTCTCGAGTACTCGATTATGCGGGAAATCATCACCCCATTTGAGCAACACCCTACAATAACGAGTTAATGGGTGTTTTGCCATCCTCACGTCTCCCGAACAGACGCAGCATGACATGTGAGAACAACTTGAATACTATCTTGAGCACAAAGGAGCAACATCCAATTTCCTTTGTTGGAGTCGACCTAGAGAGAATATATGATCAAGAAATGCTGCCACGAGGATACTATCACTTTTTGATATATATGTCTGAGAGTTTCCAACAGCTAACCAATGTATTGGATGATGATTCGATGGTACCATCCATTTTTTGTTTGCTATTTTAATTTGAATAAAATCGAATATAATTAAGAAAGATACATAATAAAACTTATCAATCATCAAATTCTATGAAGACATCTCTAACATGCCAAACATACTGGAAGAATAAAAGTCTAATTTGCTTTTAATTCGACACTGGTGAGGTGGTCCTCACTCACTCACTTATCACCTCAAGCTATGGTTTGAGTGGTGAGTGAATCAATCAATTGGCTGCAAATTTGGAACCACATAATACACCTTCCATAGTGTGTAATTCCATATTCTTTTCTTGGATAAAAAAAATAAAGCCGTGCATTGTTCACAAAGCTTTTCCAAGAACAATATATTCTCACACACTGATAGCCCTTTCAGTAAATTAAACTTTTAAATTCAAAAAACAACGATTTATAGAAGAATAATAAAAAGAGAAATTTCTCATTAATATGAACCAAGCATGAAAATAAAAGAGGTTTGTCAAGTCATTTTTCAAATGGAATTGTTCTTTCCAAAAAGTATGGAAATGCCATTGTAAAACCCCAAAAGAATATATTTTTTTAGTAAAGGCATTCTTCCCCTTATTAACATGTAAATTTCTCTAGCATCTCCAACATTTCATAATTATGGTAGTTATTTCTGTGACATTTCATTTGTGATTATCATGTACTCAATCTTTTAATATAATATCGGTAGAACATGAAATATCTACTTAGACATTGAATAAACACATGACACGCTCGTGATGCCTAAATGAAAGGGTAAAGTAACATTTAATGTAAGTTAAACAATCACCGTAATGATGGAAAAATATCATGCCTCGCTCCGGAATCTTTTATTTTACTTTTGTTTTTATGTTTTTAAACATAAATCATATTCAAAAATGAATAAGTAACTATAATAATTAATTAAAAGGGATTGTAAATAAAGATATTTTAATCCTACCATTCCTCCATATCTTACGGTTGATATGTATAGGGTATGACCACCACACTCATGAGTGGTTGGAGACCGCCGGAGGAATTTACTCTAATTATAATATATACAGCACTCTATTGCATTAGTGGTCACAAGTATAGGTTCTTTTAATAAATGAAATTAATCATCGACGTGGCATGCATGAATTAGGTTACCAGTCTAAATTTACTTCGATTATGCTACATGTATATTATGGTGTCCATAATGTACAAATAACATAATATTATTGGAGAGCATGTACATTATGGATACCCGTATAGATACTATAATGTACATGTAGAATTATCTAATTTACTTCTCGTAATTATTCCTTTTATTGAAATGTAATCAAATCTGAAATTTAAATGTCCACTATTTTTATTTATAATTAAAAAAGCAATTAATTTTTATATATTCTAGTATAATCTGGAATTTGAAGGGGAAGAATCTGATTCTCTTATACTATTGCGCCAATTTTGATCGAAATAGATACAGATCAAGAGAAAGAAATCAAAGTAGTGAATTTTTAGTGGGCTGGGAAACAAGATTGATAATAAAAGATTCTAACTTTTTCTATATAAAAAAAAATTAAAATTAAAAAAATACATGTTTTTGTTGTCATGCATGAAATTTGAAAAACGTCATTTTCTTCGAACCCTTGTAAAAACCGAAGAACAGCTTATAATTATCTGTATCTTTATCCGAATTCGAGGTACCGGAAAATCGAAAAAATACAGTTTATTCAGAATCAGTTGATATTCTTTCTGCCTGCCAAGAGTCAATGGTCAGATCGAGAAATAAGGTTGTTTAGAATTTGTCCTTTGGAAGATTTAAAAGCCAAAAATAAGTTGGCAATGGGCTAACAAGAAAATGTCATGAACCATTGTTTGTTCTGCACTTGGAAAATGTTGTTTATTTTATTAGGACGGTTTGTTTTTCTTTTCTCCGCATCTCTGATCCATATGGATTTAGCTAATTATAGATTGTTCATTTAGAATAATTAGTAGGTTCGAGTTGATTGATTTAATTTATTTTTTTTCCTTTTATTTTCATTGCATGATATTAAGGACATTCTCGAGTAATCGCATCCATTTTCTTGTATTGGATTTAGCTAATTATAGATTGTTCATTTAGAATAATTAGCAGGTTCAAGTTTATTGATTTAATTTATTTATTTTTTCCTTTTATTTTCATTGCATGATATTAAGGACATTCTCGAGTAATCGCATCCATTTTCTTGTATTTAAATTTGAGCGAGCAAGCAAATTCATGGTCAACTTATATTTAAATTTGAGCGAGCGGACGTGCAAATTCATGGTCAGCTTATATTTAAATTTGAGAAGCGGACGAGCAAATTCATGGCCAGCCCTTAAAGCAAGTTGGGTTATTTTTGTTAATCAAATTTAATTTCAGATACAAAATTTATTGGTGAAAGACTATTCTGTGTTTGGTTATGGATTCCATTAACTAAAACTATTCCTCCTAATCCTGACCTAATATTGTAGAAACTCTTACAACCTGGTACTTGCTGCCCTAATAATAACCAAAAGCCTAGATTCTATAGTGATCCCGACAAAGTTTAATTACATTGAATGTTTGATGTTTAGATGACTGTGATGAATTTGGGAAGAATAATAACTTTCTTTTTTCTTTTTTTCTTTTTTTTTTTTTTTTTCCTTGTACAATGCAATGGTAGATCTCGGAGATTTCTATGTAGAGGTTCTGTCAATCAAAATCATAGTATATGCAAGCTGTTTTTAGTTTCTTGGCGTATTAATTCCACTTAAATATGCCTCATAAGGTCTGAAAGAACTATGAATAAAGATCAGCTCCAATATATTAATTGTAATAATTTATTGAAGCAAATGTGAGTTTTATGTGCTTGGCCGCTATATCATAATAGTAAATGAAAAAGACCATTTATATATAAATAAAATGTTAGAACAGGCCAGCCATTACTTTATGTAGTCGAACCAATGGTCCGCTGACAACACATCGGTTGGATTATATTTAATCTTTTACGACGAAATGAATGATAAATTTCGAGGGAGTTGAAGGTGAAAGACATGAAAATTTGTTGGTTCTTTTTTAAACAGAATAAAATCATTAATGCGAATCATCTAAGGCTCCACTGAGTGTATATTAAGGAGAATCTTAGGTTTAAAATCTAGTGGGATAATATGCAGACCAAATTTTTATTAATATCTTCTGCTGCTGAAGTGAATTTCATCTACATCATTAAGAAGAATAATGAAGTCTTTTAAAGTGTTGAATATATGCCTGTATTCCATATGAAATTATTGAGTTTAAAGATACCCATAATATTATTCTTTTTTTATCTGCTACGTCCACAGGAGTTTAATAGATTTATGGTCTTTTTATATACCTCATGTAGAGAAGAAAACAAATTTGAATTTTCTATCCTAGGTGAGAATTATATTATTATTATCATAAATAATTTTGCTTTGGTTTTGTCAAGAGATCATTGTTCATTCCTATCCAGTTGAAAAGAAGGGTTATAAGATTGAATGTTGACATATTCATACTTATATTAGAAAGAAAAGAAATATGATGCATATCTTATATTGAACACTCTTGTACTGTTCATCCATCAATATTTCTACTTCCTTACCCCGATACCTTGCGTTTGATGCAGGTCCTTAACCGCGAATAAGAACAGTTGATACGAATGCAATAGTAGTTGGAGATTTAATCAAATAAAGCTCGAAGTCTGCGTGATCTTAAGTTTATCGGTTTTTGTCAATGAGAGGAATACAGCACAACTACGGATTCGCCAATGATTTTGATACAGAATTTCAAGACAGTTTTCCCCAAAGTTATGGCACTCAGCAGCAGTCTAATTCCATGGGGCTTTGTTTTCAACCAGTAGCAATAGAAAATGGCTCAGGTTCACCACAGCAGAACTTTTGGCCTGCAAATTCGTCCGGCTCCATCATCGGCCGGTTTGGATCACCGTCCTCTGCTTTCTATGCGACCGAGTGGTATATGGGCTTAGGACAGTATGAGAACCAAAAAAATATTCTGTATTCTCGTTGCTCCCAACAATCCAAGAATTCTTATCAACAGTCTGGAAATGGATTATTTGGAGATTCAGCTGAGCAAGATTTCGAGTCAAATAATGCCTCCCTTCCATCAGTTATGAAAACTCAAACACCACATAATCAATTTGCAAGTTGTGAAAGATCCTACATAAATCCTTTTGGCAAACTTTCAGAGAGTGAACAAATACTGCAACTAAAACGCAAACTGCTAGGCGATCTTGATAATTCAAATAGGAGAAACCCTTCCGTTTCATTTGATGCCAATCAGGATCTTGGTGTAAGTCTTTTCATTTTTCTTCTATCTCATTGATGCAAATAATTCCAAATTAATTAGTTGATCAGAAATATTCTCACAGGTGTCTCAACATCTGTATGGTTCTCATTTTGAGCATCTAAAGCAGTTGGGAAATCTGCCTGGACGTTTTTCGTCTGTTTCAAATCATTCTGCATCCAGTGGAGGAGCAGTTTCATCGAGTAAGACGAGAATCAGATGGACTCAAGATCTTCATGATCGATTTGTGGAGTGCGTAAATTGCCTTGGGGGTTCTGATAGTAAGTGATTTGATATTTATTCATTTGTTTTCAATCTAAGACCATCATATACTGATTGTTACCCCATTCAAAACATAGAGGCAACACCCAAGGCAATCCTAAAAGAGATGAAAACAGAGGGACTTACAATCTTTCATGTCAAAAGCCATTTGCAGGTATAAGTCCCTAACTTTTCATTACTTAATTTCTGATTAATTTTAGGAATCTGAATTGCCATCATTTAATTTTCATCATTTATTTTCTTTGCAGAAATATCGAAATGCAAAATGCTTGCCGGATTCTGTTGAAGGTAGATTTTACCTCTGCCTGTTCTGTTAGTCCATTTATGAGTTGGCTCTTGTCTGATACTATTTTCCTGCAGGAAAATCTGAAAGAAAGACAAGTACCAATAGCGGTGCACAGTTCGATGTAAAAACGTAAGAATTTCTGCCTATTTGCTTACTCGGTTGCAGTGTTATAAAATTCTGTGAATCACATTTTACATTTCTCGTGGTTTCCTTTTTGTGCAGTGGTATGCAACTCAAGGAAGCACTCCAAGTGCAACTAGATGTTCAAAAACATCTTCATGAACAATTAGAGGTAGATCTGATATCTCTATCCACAGTAACATGATCAAAATAAGTTGCTTAATGTTAAGTGTTGATTTTGGCTTACTTTACAATGGTAGATTCAAAGAAACTTGCAGATGAGGATTGAAGAACAAGGGAAGCAGCTGAAAATGATGTTTGATCAGCAACAAAAAAACAACTAGAAATCTCTTTGAATAAATTCAAACCCAAATCTCGACCTCTTCACCACCTCTGGAGATTCACAGATTTTGGTTTCAGGAGATTCAGATAATAATATGGTCTTCCCCTCCAAGATAAGCTAGGTCCCTGCCACAGCCATAGTAGAAAATGTAATTGGATAAACATTACATACATTAATCATATACGTGTTTCTGTTTGTCATCTTCTTGTGAAAACTCTGTTCTTGTGTAAAATTAAAAGATTTGAATTTTTATAGAGTTTTTGTAAATTCAGGGTCAATAGAGCATATGATACCTGCAGATTTGCAGACTGATGAACAAACTTTGGATTGTATTTACGATTATGGCTCCCCTTTTACATTGATGGTAAAACTTACTCCCAAACTACTTAAAATTACATAGTTTATGATAATTTTAAATACTGCTTTTACTTGACATGACATAATTTTCTTCTATAAACTTTAAGTCTTACATTGAGGGTTCATCACCCATAGAGGCATACATCGGAAAAGGGAGATTGGAATGGCAAGGACAATGGATGTGTAATCCACGAATCTCAGATTCGGCCATCTCGACTTTTTCCTCGAGACCTTCCACAGCATAGCACAACCTAGTAGTTGTCTCATCAAGCGCATCCACGCGCTGTTTCGTAGTACCCTTCTTTTGAGGCTCTACCACTTTAGTGGTGTGATGTAATTGGATCCATAGCTTTCTTATCGAGGGTCTTGAGCCGCGGTTCTGATACCAACTTTCACGGGGTGCCTTTCTTCTTGGCACAGAAAGGGACACCGTGCGGCAGTAGTCTGCTCCGCTAGACTACCTCCCGCCTTTTCTCGGTCGCGTCGGGACGAAAGAAAATTTGATTGCAATTTTGTAGAAAGCTTACAATTGAGAATTTGAATACATTGAAAGTAAATTGAACATTGATTGCTGAAAACTGAACATTACAATTGATGAAAGCAGACAATTACAAATGCTGGTGCAGGGGGCGGACACCAGTGAGCTTGAAAGATTTTTGAATGACTAATACCCCCTATAATAGCATTCTGAACAAAAATCCAAGTGACGGGAGTAGACGTTTAAAAGACGAGGAATCATACTAATCTTTTACCAATATCAGAGCTATTTTACAATTAAAATAACTATTACAATGAAACGAAAATTACAACTCAAACTTGAAGTAATATTTACAATGTGCGGCCGAAGTTGGGCAAACTGCGGCTGCGATAGTGTCAAGGGGCTAAGTAAAGCTGCGATCCTTGACACTAAGTGACGCTTATGCATCAAGACTAAGCCTCATGGCGACTAAACTGTTCACCCATCTGTCTTCATTTTATTGGGCATTTTATTTTGTTGTCATTAGCCTTTCTATAACATTCAATGTTTTACGATTTTTTTATTTTCTCCTTCTCAGCGGAAAGAAAAGGCCAAGGTGAAGTCCCGGTTGACAATGATAAAGAATGAAAATAAACTGAGTGATGCATACATCGATAGGATAATCTAAAAGGTCAACATTTCCCTTAAAGATACTAGTTGTAGTGATCATAAATGAGCCTATGGGTTTGTTTTTCTATATCTAGCAGTAGATCACAATATTTTTACACGATTATGATCTACTAATTCAAGAAATTATTAATAGCTACTTTATTGGTCTAATTTATGTTTCTTTGCAAGTTCGACTTTCAATTCAGTTATACTGTTATATTATAGTTTTTGTAAAATGGTTTATGGTTTATTAAGATGGCACCTGTTCTAAACATTGGCATCTATACTTCGAGTATATACAGAAGAAAAAACAGCTCAGAGGCCAGAATCTGAGATAAAATTCAGAAGCAATTAACATGCAGAACCCGACAATTTAAGCATAGCATAAAGACTTCATTTGACAGGAATAACTACTAAAATATTCATAGATATGTTCAAAAGAAATTTGCAAATTATTGTGCAAATTCAAATAATTGGGGCAAAAACAGAACCCTAATCTCCAGAAATGAAAATGGAGCCAAAAACCCATTTCCCGCAAGCAATAATCCCACAGTGCACAACAAAAAGATTAGAGAAATCAATAAAACCAATATAATTTCACATATAATTGAGAATCGCATATCAATATTTCATTGTAAATCGAAACAACTAATATTAAGCAAAAATACGAGTTCAAATAAGATTGTTGAATCATCTAATAAAAAAACAGAATCACTCTCTGTGAAGAACCAAAATCAGCTCAAAAATGACCAACAAACCAGACTCAAAACCTCAGCTTGGTGAAGAACCACCGATTTTTCCCCGTCTTGAAACGTTCCTCGAACCGAGCCTTGGTCTCTTTGGCAGCCGAGACCTTCTTATCCCTGGACTGGAAGCTATCGAGGGTCACCAAATCCTTGAGGTCCACGTCTAAGGTGTAACGGGTGGGCATAATGTGACTGTAATTCACCAGCTTAATGAAGCACTTCACGCGAGACTTCTTTGCCTGCTTCTTTGCCGAGTCCTTCCGGATCACCTTGCGCGGGTACTTGGCCAATCCCGCCACCAGGCAGTGGCCGTAGGGACGGTCGCGCGTTCCATCATCGAAGTTACGCACAATCACGGCCTTTCGCCCGGCATAACGGCCCTGCAGGATCACCACCGCCTTGTTTGGCTTCAGGAACTTCACCATTTTCGCCGCTCCACCTCTCTCTCTCTCTCTCAATGGAGAAACCCTAGTGTGTTTATATGGTGATTTGAAATCCAAAATATTGGGTTAATGGGCCTTGTCCAACATGGAGAGCATTGGTCCAGCCCAATGATAGTCACCAGTACAGAGTAACTTATAAAAGAGGAAATTACACAAAACCAGATTTTATAAGATTCAATTTCAAATATGAGATTTAATGTTTATTTATACAGAAATCAGATATTAATTCAAAGATAATAAATCAATATTTTAATATTAATAATAATATCATAAATTAATTTATTTACCCGGGGTACTTTTAAGTTTGGCCTTGTCAAACCAACCATTTTCCATTTTAACCAAAAAAATCTAACATTCACCACAATGGCCATTTCTTGTGTAAAAGACAAAAACGCCCTTAAATGAGTTATATAATTACAAAAATAGAAATATGGTAAAAAGACAAAAATATCCTTAAGTTACAAATAAAAATCCAAACATTTCTCAATTGAAATTTGAAAACGAAGTCAGTCTTTTCATCAGTTTACTCTAACACGATAAAAACTCTTTCATTTTTCATCCACTTCAACCTCAAAATTTCATAAACTTATCAGTTATCAACCTCAACAGAAAAATTTAGTTAAATTTCAGCACTTCAATTCGGTAGGTATTTTTTCCTAGTATTTAATTTTATTTTTATTGAAGTCATATTTTTTTTTTAAATGGTAGAAAAAATAATATTAGAGCCAAAGTTCAGGCCGGCACCGATCAAACGTCGGAACGCCGGAGTAAACAGACGGTCCGTAATGGTCCGGATCGTCCGTTTGCAGACTTCCCAGCCCCTCGATTCTGATAATTTTATTTCTGATAATTTGTTCTGATATTTTTAATTCGTAATGCAGATATGGCAAAAGCATGTGTCCCAATCTGTTATTTCGGCGAATTTCAAAGGAAAAAAATGGTCGATGGGAGTGGAAATGGACGAGTGAAGGAGAATGGGTTGCTGCTATTTCGATAACAAAAAATACTTCGTTTACAGAAATGTACAGTGAAATACAAACATGCTTAACGTCGATTCCTCTCAGTACGATATGGAATTGGGATTTTTATTTCAAAAGCATTCAACAATTTCGATTCTACCATTGAAAGTTACTTCTGAAGCGCAAATAAAGCATCTAATTCAATTGAACCAAGGTCGAAAGACGACTCCTATTTGCGTAAGTTTGTTGAAGAAAAATGTCATCGAGGGTGAACACGAAGTTTTTAATGGAGAGGGTCGTGATGAGAATGATTTTTGGGATACTGTTGAGATTGCTCGGGAGGATGATGTGGTTATTCCTGGGGCAGTTGCTACTCACCATGATGTCACCGTTACACGAAAGATTTACGAGGAAGTTCAAGACAACGAGGATGAAAGGCCATTTACAAATCAGGATTTGATTGCTTTATCCAGACAGAGATATGAGTCTGGTGGGAGCTCACATGCTGGGCCGAGTACACGGTCTTCTAACTGTTCGCGTGTAGTTCCCGATGATGAAGATTTACATGTCAATCAATTGTTTGACACGAAAAGAGATTTGCAAGAAGCCGTGCACCAAATTGCAATGAAACATAATTTTGAGTTTAAGGTAAAAAAATCAAACAAGTCTACATACACAATTATTTGTGTGGACAACAATTGCAGTTGGCTTTTGAGTGCGACAAAGATAGACACAAATGAGTTCTTTGTTGTTCGTAAGTATGCGCGGGAACATACTTGTGAAGTGGGTATTCGTCAAAATGATCACAGGCAAGCCCGATCATGGTTTATTGATCGACAGATAATGCACAAGTTTCAGAATCCACGGACGATTTACAGACCTACCAGATATCATCAACGACATCCGTCAAGAGTATGGGGTGATTATGAGTTACCTGAAGGCCTGTAAGGCTAAAGAATGTGTATTGGAAGATTTAATGGGTTCGACAGAGGAGAGTTATGCCAAATTGGCCAGGTATTGCCACAACATGGTGAGAACTAATTCTGACTCGATGTTTTTTATTGAAACCGATGGGCAGAATCGCTTCAAGTATTTTTTATGGCTCTTGGACAATGCATTAGAGGTTTTCGAAATGCGATGCGACCTCTAATTCTAGTTGATGGTACAACCTTAAAAGCTAGATATGAAGGAAAGTTGATTATTGCTACTTGTCAAGATACCAATATCCAAATTTACCCTCTTGCATTTGGCATTGTCGATGGAGAGAATGATCTAGCAATGCGTTGGTTCTTCACGAAGTTGAGAGAAGTAATTGGGAACATCGAGAACCTTGCATTTGTGACTGACCTGGGGCAGTCAATAATAAATGGTATAGCCGAAGTTTTTCCAAAAGCACATCATGGTTATTGCATGTACCACATTCAGGGCAATCTGAAAACTAGGTACCGGGGCAGTGGCATCGTTGCATTGTTTAGGAGAGCTGCAGAAGCTTACAGCTTGGAAGAGTTTACAAAATTCATGGGCGAAATAGAACATAAATTAGAAAATGCATGGGAATATCTATCAGATATGGGGGATACAATATGATAACGTCGAATAATGCAGAGTCGCTCAATGCATTATTCAAGAAGGATCGAGAGTTACCGATTCTCGTAATGATTGAAGATATTCGCAGCAAGTTGCAACAGTGGTTTTTTGACCGACGTGAAGAATCCCAAAATTGCACGAGTGTGCTAGCTCCGGCACAGGAAGATCGACTATTTAAAACTCTGGAAGTGGCAAAAGCTCTATTTGTGAAACCACTAGATCAATTTCGCTTCTCCGTGAGATGCGGGCGTAATGTTGGATGCATTGTAGACTTGAATGACAATACCTGCACATGTAGAAAATTTCAGTTGGAAAGTTTTCCATATGCACATGCTGTCGCAGTGGCTATGTATAGAGGATTTCCACCACACAGCTTGGGTGCAGTCATTATTATATGACTGATTTTTGGAGAGCAACGTATGTCGAAACTATATTTCCTCTACCAAATGAAGCCGAATGGGAAGTTCCTAATTATATTGTAGCACTTAATAATTTGTTGCCACCTGAAGCTCCACCGCGTACTCCTGGTCATAGACGGACGTCTAGAATACCATCTACAGGAGAGTTTCCACAACCGCGTAAGTGCGGGAGATGCGGCGCTACAGGACATACACGTCGATTTTGTACAAGTCAGATCCCACTAAACAATGACTCGACGGATGTGTAGTATCTATATAAATCATATGTATTCTCTATTTATCATGTGTTTGTGATTTTCTGAATTTAAATCGGATGTAATCTTTATCACATTGTTTAATTACTCTTTTTAATTTTTATCACATTTGTCATATGTATTTTTTATGTGTCATGTATTTGTTTGTTTTCTTTTAAAATAAGTGAGACAACGATATATATTAACTAACAATATGGAGAGATTACTATTTCTTTAATTAATTATCTTAATTGGTTAAGTAAAAAAAATATTTCGTTAATCATGTGTTTTATTTATTTCATATTTAATTACTCAATTTCGATTATTTATTTGAATAAAAATAATAATATTTATTCGATTTTTCGTTTCACTATTTCTTTAATTAATTATCTTAATTGGTTAAGTAAAAAAAATTATTCAATTTAATTTATTTTTTAAATATTTCGTTAATCATATGTTTTATTTATTTCATATTTAATTACTCAATATCGATTATTTATTTGAATAAAAATAATAATATTTATTTGATTTTTCGTTTCACTATTTCTTTAATTAATTATCTTAATTGATTAAGTAAAAAAAATTATTCAATTTAATTTATTCTTTAAATATTTCGTTAATCATGTGTTTTATTTATTTCATATTTAATTACTCAATTTCGATTATTTATTTGAATAAAAATAATAATATTTATTCGATTTTTCGTTTCACTATTTATTTAATTAATTATCTTAATTGGTTAGGTAAAAAAAATATTATTCAATTTAATTTATTCGTTACATATTTCGTTAATTATGTATATTATTTATTTCATATTTGAATAATATTTATTCGATTTTTCCTTTTACTATTTCTTTAAGTAATTATCGTAATTGTTTAAGTAAAAAAAATGTTATTTTTAAATTTATTCGTTAAATATTTCGTTAATTATGTATATTATTTATTTCATATTTAATTACTCTATTTCGATTATTTATTTGAATAAAAATAATAATATTTATTCGATTTTTCGTTTTACTATTTCTTTAATTAATTATCTTAATTGGTTAAGTAAAAAAATATTATTCAATTTAATTTATTCGTTAAATATTTCGTTAATTATGTATATTATTTATTTCATATTTAATTACTCTATTTCGATTATTTATTTGAATAAAAATAATAATATTTATTCGATTTTTCGTTTTACTATTTCTTTAATTAATTCTCTTAATTGTTCCCCAAAATTTGCAATTAGGTCCCCAAAAATTTTAAAGTCATTTTCAACCAAACATTACATGAATCAGTCATCTTTGTTTCAATTGAATCCAACTGAGTCCATTTAATTCTCGATTATCGTTTTATGTTTCGAATCAACTATTAAAAAGTTGCAATTAGGTCCCCAAAATTTTTAAAGCTTTTTTTGAACCAAATATTACATGAATCGATCATTTTTTTTCCAATTGCATCCGATTTAGTCCATTTAATTCCCGATTATCATTATATGATCCAAATCAACTATCAAAAAATTGCAATAAATATACAATTAAATTAAAAATTTGAGTCACAATTAAATAAAAAAATTTACATTTTCAAAAAAATATCATACAATATACGCTATTTCGATTATTTATTTCTTTCAGTACAACACGAATCCTACTGATGTAAACAACATTTACATTTTAATAAAATAATATACAATGCACTAAGGATCACAGTTATATTCATACAAGTCACAAACTAATTTATGCCTCCACATATCAAGCCAAGACTGATTTATTGTATCAACATTGCGACCAATGCTCAAGAACTCTATGTACTTGATTGCAAATAAGCCACAGTCACCCCTGCAACCGAAGTAGAATATATTAGTTCCATAACATATAATTGAAAATTAAATCTGAAAATTAAAAAGTTGTAAATCCTTACGATCTTTCTTGTCTCGCCGTCGTCATGTTCCGCACAATGGCTAATCTATCATTTACTCGAATCATCGCATGACTAGTCATCATGGGCACAATCACAGCCAATGGCTCCAGTATTTGCTCAGTTGACTTTGTGTCAGACAGTTATGATCAGAGTCGTACACATATATGGTGGAATCAGCAAATACGATCTCCATTGAAAAACAATGTGAGTTCGCGATCACTGGAATGTACATATGTGTACAATCCGTCCACGACTTTCTGTACCTCAACTGTAGTCCAATCACCCACTCCAGCATGTACTCAGACAGAACATAATCATTCCCCTTGCTTAGGAGCTCGTGATGCTCAATATCTACGACACGAACGAACTCAGAGCTCAGGATAACTCGAGTAGTACTGTCATAAGATCTCGGGTATCTCCGCGCCCGATCGCGTAACAATTCCATAGCCAAGTCGATATGCTGAAACAAAAAAACACCAACAAAAAAGATAGAGTCATTTAAGTAAATGAACCAACAACTTCTATAAATATAATAAACGGAAACTCAAAAAACTTACATCATCAGCGAGCCAAACCGAGGTCGTCAGTACATCTTCAAACCACTTTTTAGCATTGGGCACGGTCATACAGCCGATGGTATAACTATCTCTGAAAAATGAAAAAATAGTTACGAAAAATACAAAAAAATAGTAGCAAAATCATAAAATACTTACTCGGATTTAAGGGATTTGAACCAATCATCGAACGCCTTCTGTCTGACTGGGTCGACGTCGCGAAAAAGATTGGGGAACTCTCCATCCACAAACTCCCTTTTCTTCGCCTCGGCCGTGTATGGAAAAACGATGTACTGTGACGGCAATCTTGATCTCTTACCGACCATCAACTCTGGCGCGTCAGTAGCACGCTTCTTACCCTTCGGGACTTCCGTCGCCCCCTCCGACACGAATACTACCTCGTCATCCGTCATCTCTGGCGTCCTCTCGTCCTCCGCAACCTGATCATCCCCCTCTACTACCACCTCTGATGTCCCCTTCGCTACCTCCTCGGCCACCCCTGTCCCTCCCTCCACCCCCTCTATCTCGGCCTCCTCCGGCACCTCCGGCCCGACCTCCACCCCGGGCATCCCAGCCTCCTCCGGCTCCTCCTGCCCGACCTCCACCCCCTCCCTCCCGACCTCCGGCACCGAACCAAAAAACTCATCGATTCCTGCGACCGTTGCCCACCAATCTCGAGGGACACCAATCTCCCCGACATTCCCTCGGACGCCTGCTACATCGCCTCAAAGTGCTGCAACCTAAGTATGAAGGTCTCCTATGTCTCGTCGCAGCACTCCAATATCATCTCGTAAAGCTACTACATCTGTCGTAAAATCTCGTCGCAGCACCTCTATCTCCTCTCGTACTGCGACGATTTCTGTCGTAAAATCCCGTCGCAACACCCCTATCTCCTCTCGTAGTGCGACTACCTCTGTCATAAAATCATGTCGCATCGTTCCCAGCTCCTCTCTAATAATGCCAGTCATGCGTGCAAAGAAATCATCTGAATGACGGGTCTGACTGGGTGTAGGCGATCCACGTGGAAGGTGGGTGGGTACGGGAGACGGAGATATCCTCGGAGAATGAGATAATGGCGGTAGAGGAGATCTCATCGGTGGAGGCGAAGGAGATATCCTAAGTGGAAGTTCCGGATGGCGCTCCTACATAGAGAAGACAATTAATATTAATAATCCACACATGAATTTATAAGTCAAAATAAATAATGATCTTAAATAAGCGTACTATATTTCTATCCGGAACGGATTCAAATACTGGATTGTCTTCAATAGGTGGAACAAGTAATTCACGTACATATATTGCATCCTCCTCTTCCACCGAAATAACCAACTCAGCATGAACTTCGAGCTGACATATCATATTTCAACGTGTTAACGAGCATGTATCGAGCCGAGTAAATGTATGTACAATATAAATTACAAATATATAATACTCACCTGAGGATCGTCGAGGATAACTGTCAAATCTTTAGCCGATGGCTTTTCATGTGCTCGCCAATGAAGCATTCGTGGGCAGCTGGTCTCCCTTCTGATCGCCCATTTGCTACCCAAAGCAGGGATAGCCTCATATGCCCACAACTGCAATAATTACAAAATAAAACTTTACATATACATTTAATAAAAAAGTTTAACACGCATTACGTTACACTGAATATTTACCTGCAAAGCCATGCAAAAGTCATATACATCATATTTGCAATCGCCCCTTTCCGATTTCGGCATAGTATGTACCCTTCTGAATACATGGAGAGTATCGGTATAACATCTCCGACCCCATGGAAAGCTGTTGAAAGCATCGATATCATCAACAACATCCAATGAAAAAAGATCAATCGACGTCCTACGATGTCGACACCTCAATATACTCTCCAGTATATACACCAATCCTAACTTCAACTTGTCTAACATGTGATCGCATCTCTTAAATGCGTCCTCTAACTGTGGTGGTGTAACTGGCCCTTTACCTCCAAAAAATAAGTCCAATAACCTTTTATTTCGTATAATACAGGATCTAGCTTCTTCTTCTCCAGTACATCTCAAGCCCGTAATCAGGGCAAATTCAAGGATCGAGAATCTAGATACCTTCCCGTCCCCCATAGCAAAATATAGCTAATCGCCATCGATTGGTTTAAGCAGCTGGAGTAATAAAAAATCAATAATCTGTCCAGAGAACTGCACGTCCTTCAACGGATAGAACGACCATAAAAACGATTGATGGAGTAAGTCAATATGCTCATCGTCCAGGCCCTCAAGCACTGTCGCATAGCTGGAAAAGTTACAATACGTCGTAACTTTTCCCAAATGAGCCCTCAGATTGTTGTCCATATGATATTCCATCCTACAAAATTAACACGTGTTAAAACCATATAAAAGAAATTATAAATAAAATATCGTACCTTCAAATTTAACCAATCAAATTTCATATTAATAAACCAATAAATAAATTTATCCAATCACATATTAAAATAGTTAAACAAAAAAAATTTCACATATTTGACTATTTAATATTTATTTAAAAATTATATTTCGTTAATTATCTGACTATATATATATATTATTAGAAATTTATTCGATTTTTCGTTTTACTATTTCTTTAATTAATTATCTAAATTGGTGAAGTACAAAAAATATTATTCAATTTAATTTATTCTTTAAATATTTCGTTAATTATATATATTAATTATTTCATATTTAATTACTCTATTTCGATTATTTATTTGAATAATATTTATTCGATTTTTCCTTTTACTATTTTTTTAATTCATTATCTTAGTTCGTTAAATAAAAAAAATATTGTTTTTTTAATTTATTCTTTAAATATTTCGTTAATTATGTATATTATTTATTCGAATAAAAATAATAATATTTATTCGATTTTTCGTTTTACTATTTCATTAATTAATTATCTTAATTGGTTAGGTAAAAAAAATATTATTCAATTTAATTTATTCTTTAAATATTTCGTTAATCATGTGTTTTATTTATTTTCATATTTAATTATTTTATTTCGATTATTTATTTGAATAATATTTATTCGATTTTTCCTTTTACTATTTCTTTAATTAATTATCTTAATTCGTTAAGTAAAAAAAATATTGTTTTTTTTAATTTATTCTTTAAATATTTCGTTAATTATGTATATTATTTATTTCATATTTAATTACTCTATTTCGATTATTTATTTGAATAATATTTATTCGATTTTTCCTTTTACTATTTCTTTAACTAATTATCTTAATTCGTTAAGTAAAAAAAATATTGTTTTTTTTAATTTATTCTTTAAATATTTCGTTAATTATGTATATTACTTATTTCATATTTAATTACTCTATTTCGATTATTTATTTGAATAATATTTATTCGATTTTTCCTTTTACTATTTCTTTAACTAATTATCTTAATTCGTTAAGTAAAAAAAATATTGTTTTTTTTAATTTATTCTTTAAATATTTCGTTAATTATGTATATTACTTATTTCATATTTAATTACTCTATTTCGATTATTTATTTGAATAATATTTATTCGATTTTTCCTTTTACTATTTCTTTAATTAATTATCTTAATTGGTGAAGTACAAAAAATATTATTCAATTTAATTTATTCTTTAAATATTTTGTTAATTATGTATATTATTTATTTCATATTTAATTACTCTATTTCGATTATTTTTTGAATAATATTTATTCGATTTTTCCTTTTACTATTTGTTTAATTCATTATCTTAGTTCGTTAAGTAAAAAAAAATATTATTTTTTTAATTTATTCTTTAAATATTTCGTTAATTATGTATATTATTTATTTCATATTTAATTACTCTATTTCGATTATTTATTTGAATAATATTTATTCGATTTTTCGTTTTACTATTTCTTTAATTAATTATCTTAATTGGTGAAGTACAAAAAATATTATTCAATTTAATTTATTCTTTAAATATTTCGTTAATTATGTATATTATTTATTTCGATTATTTATTTGAATAA